TGCCCAGAGCTATGCCTCGCATCCTTCTGGTCTTCCTTTTTGTGTGTACTGGAGGTGGAGCTCAGGGCCCCACACATGCCAGGCTGTACCTTGGGGCTGCACTGCGCCCCTTTCCTCCCCTTCTTTTCTGGGGGCTCTCATGAGAAGAGACCCTGGTTTCCTTTGCTCCCACAAGGCCTCCCTGAAGCTTCAGGGACCTCCTTTCTGCACACTGTCTTCCTGAACACCCTTTTGCAATTACATGTGTTGGCAGATTAACTATCTAATTAATCCTTAGGGAACCTTCTCGTTAGCACATTTAGCCTTTCCAAAGTCCTATTCATCTTGAGCTGAAGCCCCTCCATGAAAAGTTCTCCCAGACAAAAATATTTTTAAAGATATTCAGATAGCTAAGCTAGGCATGGTGATGAATGCTTGTAGTCCCAGCGTTTGGGAGGCAGAGGTGGGAGGATCAAGAGTTCAGGGCCAGTTTGGATTACATAGGAAGATTAGTCGTTAAAACAAAACAAAAAAGCAAAACAAAAGCAATCACATGTTTCTGGAACCCCTTAGGCCTCACTCTGCCCCCTTATGCTTCCACACTCTCTCTGTGTGTGTCTCTGTCTCTTCCCTCCCTCTCTCCCTCCCTCCCTCCCTCCCTCCCTCCCTCCCTCCCTCCCTACTCCTGGTTGCTTGTGCTGTGGGGTTCAGCACCATGGAGAGAGCTAAAACAGCAGGATTACTGCAGTTAAGAAGCTAAAAACTCACTAAACAAGGGACAGAAGGAGGGAGTGTGGAAAAAGAAAAACAGGGTCCTGGCCCTCTTGGGTGCTCACTACAGTTGTGAAGAACCAGAAATAGGATAGCTGTAACCAGGGTATAATCCAGGACCTCAGGAGAGGAGGCACAGGAGAGGATGGGCATAGTCCTCCGCTTGCAGCAAGGGTGGCAAATCTTCTGAGCCTTGGAAAGTCGGTACAACCACTAGGTCAGGCCTGTGCTCTTAGGGGGAATTCATAAATGCACTTTGAACAAAGGACTGGATGGATGGATCAGACTGGACAGATGTAATCTCCAGATCCTCACAAGATAGTGTGGTGGGCCAGGAAGTCAGTCAGCCTGTGACTTGTTCTCTCCTGGCTAGGGAGAGCGAGTTACAGCTCTGAGCACCTGGGTCATGGGGATCCTGGCCTTCTGCGGGGGAGGGAATAAAAACTCCGGTGTGGTGGTAGGTGAGAACAGTCTGTTTGGCAGGGTGGTTGGGGGCTGGGAGGCCTTGTGGCTGCTCTGACTGGTACTGGCCGGGGGTGTTGCAGGAGTGGGCAGATGCCTGCTGCAGGGGACTCCGGAGCGTCCACGCCTACATCCTGGTCTATGACATCTGCTGCTTTGACAGCTTTGAGTACGTCAAGACTATCCGTCAGCAGATCCTGGAGACAAGGTGAGGAGCTGTGACAGTCTATTGCTGCCCCTGTGGAGGCCCTAATGCAACCTGTCTCCAAAAAAGGGGGACAGGGGCAAGGGGGGGGGACTTGGGTCACAGGTGAAATGTATGCATTTTCTGGTTCCTTTTTTTTTTTTTTTTTTGGACAGGGTTTCACTATGTAGCCAGGCTGGTTTTAAATTCAAACTCTCCCTGCCTCAGGCCACCTAGTGCTGTAATTACAGGTGTGGGTCACATACCCTCCTTCTGTTGACTCATTTTGGGACCTCTCCTTATGAAGTAGCTACATTAATGATGAAGAGCTGGGGGTACATGGCCTCGTATCAATTGACATAAAGCCTCAGTTTCCTTGTCTGTAAAATAGACCTTTTTGGATCCAAAGACGTGCTCTTTAGAGATGTAACCTTCCCCCAAGGGACTGGGGCTGCAACTGGAACAGAGTCCACGTTAGCGCGGAGTCCAGTGGTTTCTACACTGGCACAATCTTCAGATTTCTGCTTCGACCCGCAGGGTGATCGGCACCTCGGAGACACCCATCATCATCGTGGGCAACAAGCGTGACCTGCAACGCGGACGCGTGATTCCGCGCTGGAACGTGTCGCACTTGGTGCGAAAGACCTGGAAGTGCGGCTACGTGGAGTGCTCGGCCAAGTACAACTGGCACATCCTGCTGCTCTTCAGCGAGCTGCTCAAGAGTGTGGGCTGCGCCCGCTGCAAACACGTGCACGCCGCCCTGCGCTTCCAGGGCGCGCTGCGCCGCAACCGCTGCGCCATCATGTGACGCCGCGTGCGCCCTGCTGCAGCACTGTCCCAGCCGAAGGGAGGGCAGGGCGGGGCCGGCCTTCCTCGGGGACACCTGGGCTAGAGCGGGGACCCCACCCCCCCCACCGAGGAGAACTCTAGGCTCCCGGCCTGAAGCACTCCGGCAGCCACACACCTCCCCACGAGAATCAGAGGGCGAGAGGGAGCCTCCCCGCCACTCCCCAGTCCTTCCCTCCCACGCGGGTCTTCCTGGACAGCCACCTTCAGTGCTATAGTGTAGTGCCCGGCCCCAGGGGGCGCCACAGTCTGTGGGCTGAGGGGTGAGCTTACGCAATGGGGGTGGGGTGAGGAGGTGCTGTCTTGGCCGGGCCCCTGCTCATCTTCCCCACAGTGTGTCTGTCTTTGCCCCGTGTCCCCTTTTCCAATGTCTGTCCTCTCAAGTGTCTGTCCATCCTCATTTGCTCTGTCTTCCCTCCAGTGTCCCTCCCTGTCACCCAGCTCCGCTCACAGGGCTCTCATTTCGTTCATCCCTTTGTCCCAGGTCCTGGCAACTTTGTGAGGCCAGGCCTTCTCACCGGCAGCACCACCGGCACAGGGCAGAGAGATGCAAGTGGCCCAAGGACCGAAGCCAAGGGGTCCGAGGGCTGAGGTCCCACAGCCGTCAGGGAGAGAAGGCAGAGTTCTTCCTCATCCAGGGAGACCTCCCTGCCCAGCAGCCCCCAGAGACGCAACCACCTACCTTCCAGCCTTAACTCAATGGTCCCTGCCGGGTGCCCCCTCACCTCTCCTGACTCCAAAGCCAGATGGCCCCCGGGCTAAAATTCCTTTTGTTGTGTTTGACAGTGTGGAGAGGAAAATTTCCCAAGGGATGATTTTTCTCTCCATGATGCTAGGTCCTATTTCTCTGTTAACTCCTGCACTGGGATGGTCTGCTATCTGTGGGATGTTGAGTTGTGCGGGACTGGTGGTGGTGAGCAAGGTGGTACCCAGGTCAGGTTATGCCGGTGATAGGTGATAATTCTGTGTCCCGGTCCCGCCTCAGTCCTACTGCCTAAGACTCTGCCTCCATCAGGTCTCAGGCTGTCTCGATCAGTCTGCATAGGGGCAGAGCCAAGAAAAGAATAAGGAAGGTTCTTGTGCCTGGGGGAGATAGGCATGCATCCCCACCCTTAGGTGGAGGCCCTCAGGATCTGACCCCTTGTCCCAAAACCAGGTTGGCCCTATGCCCTAACTCACCCACCCCATTTTCCCCGGCTGCCTGGCCGGGTTTCTACCTCTCGTCACCGGAGCTGATCACTGTCAGTTTTGTACCGATTTAGAAATAATAATAATGAAGATTCTAGGAATGGCCTGAGGGATTGATGGGGGACTTGGAGGGAGGGAGGAAGGAAGGAAGTGGTGCCACGTCCCCTGCCCCGGCCCAAGAGAGTTCTTGAGGCTGAACCCTCAGCCTCAGCCCTGGTCCAGTTGGGAGGATAATAAGGACCCTTTGTTAAGAGGGGTACATAGGATGCCCAGCCTTTTCCAGGGCTGCAATTACACAGACCAGGAAATCAGGTACCCAGAGAGGTGATGGGGAGGAATCTGGGGGCAGGGGTGTGGGTGGGGAATTTACAGTGTTCCCATGGGGGTAGGGAATTTATGGTGTTCCCGTGTGGGAGGGAATCCATGATTCTCTGTTCTGCTTCCCCTACTGGATCTCACTCCCTCCACCCAGCGGGGGCACAGCAGTACAACAGCAGCCCTGATGTGGCAGCCCAGCCTTCTGGGTTCCAGTCCTTGCTGTCCTGCACAATTTTGGGCTAGTGACTTGCCCTCTCTGAGCCTCCCTCTGACACAGAGGTGGTGGCTCCCCTTCCCCACACTGCGGAGTGGCTGGGAGGGTAAGGAGGAGAGATGCCCACTTTCCTCTCCTGCAACTCCACCCCTGGTTCCACGGGGCGTGGGGTAAAGATGGCAGCATCTCATGTGCCCGATCACCCCCCAACTCTGAGGCACTTGAGGTGAGGGTGGGGAATCCCAAGCCTCTGGCTGCCCTCCCCACTGGGGGAGCCATTGGAATGTAGCCGCCCTCACCCTAGCCTCTTCATTCCAGGTCTTGGATTTCAGGTCCCTCCACCCACATTCTGAGTGTCTGTCCTTCCCCTCCCCAACCAGGGTTTCCCACACAGGGTCTGGAAGTGTGTGTGACACCCATTGAGCTGTTATCGGAAGTCAGATTAAAAATCAGGGAGTGTTTTCCCTCGTTTCTCTACCTCAGTGTCAGCTCTGTTGCTCGTGGAGGGAGGAGTGGGTCCCTGCAGTCACCTGTGCTGTGTGGAAAGAGTGGGGCGCCCCACCCGGAAGTCCTGGCCAACCCAGGGATCAGAGGGAAACGGTATTGGACATAGCTGTTTTCCCTCCAGCTAATCACAGACACAGAGAAGGCACCATCGCCTGCCTTCACAGCTGTCTGGATGTCTTGACCCTAACAGCTTCTGCCTCTTTCTCCCAGTCAGGGGTCAAATTTAGGACCTCCGAACATAGCTTCTTAGACACAGAAGTGTGATGGATGCTGTCAACCAGCTCTCTTCACCCTAAAGTGACCCCTGTTCTCAAGACCAGAGGCAAATCTTTGAAGTGCACTGCCAGGGTGGCCTTCAGGAGCCTGTGCGAAACTGCACTCGTCGCTGTCCACGGTCCTGACTACCAGGGGCTGGTAGGAAGCCTCCCTTGCTGACAGCTCCCTCACCTCCAGCAGGGACAGTGTTTGAAGCTGCACCTCTACACTTCTACAGCCTTAGGGAAAGGACCCCCAAAAAAGCTGAGACTCAAGGACAGACCCATGTGTGTTTAATAACTTAAGACTGTGGAAATGTTCAGAGGTCGAGGAGCTGTTCAGGGGGCCAACAATAAGATGATATGGGCTCTCCCCACGGCCGCTGGCCTGACTCTGACTTGCAGTGGATGGTGTGGGCTGCCTTTTTGCCCAGCGGAAGAGATGGGGTTTTCAAACCCACTCCTGACCAAGGCCCTGTGCTGAGTGAGGGGCCGTCCTTTCTCACACATACACTGCACTGCATATGTTTTGCAGTGGCCCTCCCCATCTTCAGATCCAAGACTCCTCCTCAGGTGGGAGTGGGGTTCCCTCAGGCTGCTGAGGCTCCTGGCTCTCTGAAGCTTGGGAGCTCTTCTCCAATGAGATTCTGGTTTCTTCCTTTTTCTTTTCCTCCTTTTCACCTGCCCGATCCACCTGGCAGGCGCTCCCTCTCTTGCCACCCAATGTAGCTTTCAATAGCCTGCTTCCTGGGGCTGTCCTGGCTGGACCCAGGCAGAGGTAGGTCAGTGGCTTGGGAATCCTGGAAGGTCTTTTCTCAGGCCTGTGGTCTCTGCGGGGCCGGATCCTGGGTCTCAGCTTCAGCTTGTAAATGGATGGGATCTTCTGGGGCTTCCGGAGGATTCTCTTGCCTTTGCCCTGGCAGACCCTGGCTTTGTCGGAACTGGGGTCTGAGCATGAACGTGTGGGAGCCTCCAGGGCGGCCGGCGCAGTTAGGGTGGATGACACAGTTCTTACTGGGGTTCCCTTGGCAGTCAGGCTTGCCTCTGTCCTTGGCCCACTCTCTCTGGATCCTAGCTCTTCTTTGGGGCTTCTTGGGTCCACAGCTGGCTTAGGAGGAGCTTTGGAGCCTACATTCCAGGCTCTCAGATCCACTTTAAGGAGAGATGGAGGCCCCTGAACTAGTTCTTGGATAACTTTATCATAAGGACCCCCGGACTCAGGCCACCTCCCACCCAGGCTAGGAACATAGACTCCACTTCGAGGGATAACGTGAGACCTTGCACCCTGATTACAGGCATCCCCCACCTCCAGCAGCTTCATGTTGGCCACAATCTCCTCTTCAAGGCTATGGTAGAGGGCTTGCTCTTTAGTCCTGTCTAGCGGCAGAGGGGTGTGCCTCCCTTTCCACTTTTGTGTGCCCAGGCTTCTGGGATCCTCAGTCTCTGAAGGGATCTGGATGTCCCCCTGGTGGTCCCCGTGGCTTTCTTCCACAGGGTGATGCCCATGTCTGGATCTATCCAGGTTCCCTGTGATTACCCTTGATGGGGTGGGTCCTCTCTCCGTGGAACCTCCACCTTCAGTACCCCAAACACTACTTCCTGGAGTTGGGGGTCTAGCAGGGGACAGCCGGATGGGGATCTTGGTGAACCCTTTACTGGGGCATGGGGACTGAATAGACATGGGTTCACTGAGCTGTGGGGAAGCTCCCCGACACAGGAGCCAGAATCTGTGAGGATTGGCTAGGCTGGAGGAACGAGGTGGGGGAGAGGGTTCTCTTGTTGATATCCCTTTACTGGTGGCCTTAGGGATTTGGAGCCTCTGAGGCATGAGAGCCCTGGTATGTGTTCCTCGGCTGTCTGTTTCCTCGTGAACCCAAGATGTGGGAGTCCTTCCTCTGGGAAGTCCACCTGGGCATCTATTCTCTCTCTTTCCTGACAGGGGACTTCGTAGGTCAGGGCTCCTACAGGTAGATATGAATTGGGGATTGGGTGACAACGTCCTCTGAGATTGGGTCATTGGCCTCTCTTGGAACCTGAAAAGGAGAAAAAACAGTCTAGAAAGAGAGACTCGAGGCCATCAGAGGCATTTCCCCTGGGAACACCATTGGGTACTAGAGAACCAGTGTTCTTCCCTAGGACGGACCATGAGGTCCCTATGCAGCTGTTTTTCCTGTCTGTTCTCCCTCGTTCCCTGTGTAGCAGACAGAAGGTGACCTCAGAGGAAGATTCCATCCCCGAAGACTGATGATCAGAGGCTATCCATATTTGAGGCTGGCCTCAGTCTTAATCATGAAACGGAAGGACAGTGAATACGGCCATTCCTTTACTGGGCCTCAGTCTCCTTGGCTGCAAAATGGGTAGCTATTTGGAGAAGCTAGATGATCCTTAAGCCCTGGGTACTGTTTTGATCACAAACGCCTGAAGCTTTGTCTTGTTCTGTGGCCCTGGGCTGTGGAGTCCATGATCTTGTGCACACTTGGGGAGCATTGTCCCATTGGGCTATATAACCCTTCTCTTTTAAATTTGGTTTTGTGATATGGTCTCCTGAAGTAGCCCAGGAAGGACCCAAATTCACAATCCTCCTGCCTTGGCTACCTGAATACCAGACAGCAGGCATATGCTGCCATACCCGGCATATGTGAAGTCTTGTTGGGGTAGGACATTGTTCCCTATATCTTGGTGAATGGGCCACTGAGACTATGGAGGAGACCCTTACATGTCCCTCTCTTGTACCTTAGCAATGGGGCTGTTTACCTGAGGGTCCTACCCCCTGCTCCCCGTTCACCATGGGGTAAGGGAGAAGAGGGAGTGGGAGGCCTCAGCTTTCGGCTGGAAGAGGTGTATGTCTTCCAGTCCACTGGAGGCAGTGGGCTCTGCGAGCGGCTGATGGTCATTGTAGGCTGGGGCTGTGAGGGCCCATCCTGCACCTTCACTTCATGCTGCACCGGTGGCCCCGGGGGCTTCAGGAAGCTGCCTGGTTTGTGGGCTACCAACAAAGGCCCCCGGAGAAAGCAGAAGAAAGAGAGGTTCATTTCCTGCTTATGAAACTCATTGCCCCTCCTCTTCATGCTGCCCAATTCTCCTTATTCCTTCTCATAAGCCCCAGAACCTACAGTGGCAGTCCCAATTTCTATAAAGGGGCTCCAGGGACACAATCTGGTCAGAAAGTCCAATATCAGGATTTGCTGAAAGCTATGATGTATTGCGGATCTGTAGCTTTTATTCAAATTGTGTACTTATTCGGGGTTACTTGACGTACTGAAGAGGATTGGGGAAGGACTAAAAACCTTCCAAGTCAGACTTCAGGCCACCTTGTGGTGGATTCCAGGCCAGGCTCTACTGAACTTGACCTATGCTGTCTCTGCGTGCCTTGCGCGACACCTTGTGCTTATTTGTAGTATTGCACCACGTCCGCCCCCTCTGTCTTAGCCCACAGTTCCTGTACAGCTGGAGTCTCCAGAGATCAGGCCGTCTTCCACAGATGGCCTCCCAATCAGGGGCTATATCTCTCTAACCAATCCCACAGACAAAAACCCTTGGGGAACTCACATAGGGACGTACACCTGCAGGGGTCATGTTTGTCCAGATAATGGCCCAGCGTGTCCCAGCCACCCCCAACACGCACCATCACGTGGCTCCGGAGGATCTGAGGGGGCAAAGGTGAGATTAAGAGCTGAGTGGAGGGTATCCCCTGTTCCTGTGTACTACTTTACACACGTTCGTGATTGGGAGAAAGTCTATTTTTCTGTTTAGTCTTACCCATGACTGCATCCAACAACACTTGTCAAGGGTGAGAGGCAAACTTGCAAACAAGAAGCTGTGCTCGCACAACTGGGGGCACTCTCTTTGCTACACAAGGATTTGCACTTGTCTCTGCTTGCAATTGATATGGGACCGTCATGCCTCTGTGATGTGTGACACAGACAGTGTGAGTTCTGCCCGACTCTGCAATGAGACAGGTCCCATAGTCTTTCCAGACTTTGACTTCCACAGTTCAAAAGCGGGACCACAAATCTCTGGCCCATAACCACATCACAAGACTAGTCTCAGCATCTGAGGGGGGCTCAGGTTGCTGGCTCTGCTAAAGGCCTTAGTCATGCCCAACTGTTGACCACATCCCTGAGTACAGACCATCTCTAGGGAGGCGAAGCCAGGCACGGAGAAGGGCTAGTGGTAAGCCTGTCCCAACCCTGACTGCTGCTTACTCTACGGAATGGACAGGTCCAGGATCTGAGTCGTGTGCTTTGAGATCCACGTGGCTGGGGCCACACGCTGAACACAAACCCAGGTTTTTAGGTCCCTCGCTCTGTCCTATCCTGTGGAATTGGAAAGTGGGGGTACCCTTTTTAGACACCCTATTTTTGCCTGGGGACATCCTGTAGACTCAGCTCTGATGCAGGTGGTGGAGAGTGGTGGGTCCAGGTACATTGATGGGAGGATGGGATAAGCTTGTCAACTTTGTCTGGAATCTCCTGGAAAATTCCAAGGGAGGGGAGAGCCCCAAGGTCTGGAGACTTGGGGTGTATGGTGACTGGCTTCCTGTCCTTGTCCTGGGGCTTAGTCAAGGTTCTATGGAAGGAAACCCTATTTCACTGACACCGGATGTCCCTCCACCTTAGGTCCTACTTACCCTGATGAAGATGAGAGTGTTAGAGTCCCCTACTCGGTACTTCCCCTCAGATATCTTGACCATGGAGAATTGCACTGGGCATGTGCAATGGCTCACGAGGTTCTGCACCTGTGGGCAATGGCGGAGACTCGGCTCTCTTCTCTACCCAAGCACCCAAATCCATTCACATGCTGGATCATACTAAATGGGGTGCCCTTCTGCCTCTAGACAGTCTTTCTGGAGGCTGGAGCTGAAGTCAGGGCTGGGGGCTGAGGGGCGAGTAGGAAGTGGGAGGTTAAAGAACCCATAAGAACAACACTTCTCCTTCTGACAGCGGGAAACTGGACTGCGCTGTTTGACCAGCAGGGGGCAGAGTCCTGTGGCCACTATATTACAGGCCTTCAGCTAAGAAACCTTCCCGGAGGACCGCTTGGGCTCATGAGTTTGAGACCACGTTTGGCAACTTAGCAAGAGAAGGGAAAGAAAAGAGCAAAACAGAATAGGAGAAGAGGCAAAGGGGAGGAGAGAAATAGGGATGGGGCTGGCTTCAGGGAAGTGCCTCCTCCTATGATGGGATTCCACTCTGGAAACTGCTCCACGCAATTGATGTCGATTCACTTAATTCTCACAGCAGTCACAGAAAATGGCTACTGTGCCTCAGTACGCGACAAGCCATGAATGGAAGATCAGAAAAGTTAAAATGATTTGCCCAAAGTCACACGGTGGGTGTTAGCTGTTAACGAGGATGCCATGTCCTTGGCACCTAGCCTACAGGACTAAAAGAGGTGTTCGGTGAAGGGCTTGCGCAAAGGGGGTAAGTGGCAATAGTCACTGTCACATGTGGTAAGGGTGGGGGCCTGGAGTGGAGCAGGGCCGTGAGACTGGGGGAGAAGAGGGCAGGGCACAGGCCGGGCCTGAGGGCGTGGCCGGGCGCCTCACCATCTGGTCCAGGTTGTGGAAGTGGCAAGGCCTGCGGACAGGGGGTGCGGGTGGCGGCGGATCCGGCGAGGGCAGGGCCAGCTCACGCCGCAGCTCCTCATCTATTTCCTCTTCCAGATGCACCAGGGCCGGCGCTGCCACACCGAAGCGCCAGGCGCGGCGGCCCAGCTCCATCAGACACAATAGCACGTTCTTCTCGTTCTTGCGCAGCACAAGGTCCTCTGTCTCGAACATCAGCACCTCTGGTGTGGACAAAGGAGAGAAGGGGACACCGGTGGTTTAAGTCCCCCGCTAGAGACCATCCTGAGATAGACACAGATGGCTCGGGTTTCAGCATCTCAATTGAAGATGCCCCTGGAAGGGGTCCACGCTAAGCAGCCAGACTAACTGCAGAAGCTGGTGAGTGGGCAAAAGTATTTGAAGCCTGACCGATCCTAGGGTAGGGAAGACGACTTTCTCTACCGGCTCTCCTCTGGTCCACTAAGTCACCAAGAAGATCCCAGGAGCAGGAAGCAGTTTCTTCCTCTTCCTACCCATCCTCAGCTCTAGAGAATTGGGCGACTTGACTATGGACTCTGGTACCTCACCATAGAAGGTTCAGTCCTAGCCTGAGGCTGGTGGCGCATGCCTTTAATCCCAGCACTCAGGAGGCAGAGGCAGGCGGATCTCTGTGAGTTCTAGGTCAGCCTAGTCTACAAGAGCGAGTTCCAGGACAGCCTCCAAAGCCACCTGTTTTGAGAAACCCTGTCTCGAAAAACAAAAACAAAACAAACAAACAAACAAAAAAAGGTTCAGTCCTGGAATCTCCCAGTTGCTATGTGACGTCCAGTTAACTCCAGTGTCCCAGTTTTTATCTTCTCAAAAATAGGGGTGAAGCCTGTCTCAACAGGAAGCAGCAGTTGTTTGGGACTTTGGTGCCTGAAACGGTACATCAGCCTCATCTCCAGATAGATCATTAGCTTGAATAACCTCTGACCCAGCCCCTCACCTCCTCTGCCACCATTCAGGAGTCCAAACCTGATCATTTCCCTGTCCCATCCCAGTTACCTTTGGTCTGGAGGATTGTGCAATCACACCTAATCCCATTCCTGGGTTCAAGTCAAACAGCCGTCACTCCCTGAGCCCTACAAATCCCTGCAGGACTGTGTTCCTCCTATAGAGTAATCCCCCCCTCCCCTAACTCCCTACCCAGCCTCTAGACAAGTGGTTCTCAACCTGTGGGTCACAACCCCACTGGAGTTGCACATCAGATATTTGTGTTACTATTCATAACTGTAGCAAAATTACAGTCATGAAATAGCCACAAAGTAATTTTATGGTTGGGGAGTCACCACAACATGAGGAATTGTATCAAAAGGAAGGCTGAGACCCCACTTTAGTCCCTCTTGTTCACTCCCAGTTTCCTGTCTTTCTTGTGTTTTGCCGCCCCCCCCCCCCCAGTTAATTCCCTTCCCCAAACTTCTCTCCTTATCCCAAATCTCCTCCCTCTTGATGCCCTTGCCGGTGCCCACTACTCTATCATTAAGCTGCTGGTTCCCATTCTGGGTCCTATGTGATACACTTGACTTTGAAGCACACGTGCCCCTGGGCTGTAGTTTCTGAACCTATCCATCTATCCATCCTTCCTCGGCCATGCATTCCTGGGCACTGGACCCTATTCGTCTCAGCCCCTGGTACCCAGCATGCACTGGAAACAGAAAAGGTGATTCATCTGTCTTTGTGGACTCATTAATGATGTGAATTTATAATGAGGATTCGCTATGAGGTGACGAGACCAGTGCACAAGAACTGCAGCTACCCATTGGAAAATCTAGAAGACTACCTCAACTCCTGACCCCCAGATCTAGCTTAGCCCCCAAGTCATGCATGCCCCTACAAGACAAGATACATGTGTTACCTTGGATGCCCATCTCCTTGCGACACCACTGGATGAAGTTGGAGATGTTGTCCCTGGCCTGGAAGGTACCTGGCTGAGCAGCCCCATTGCAGAAAACCCCAGCCTGGGGCATGGGAATCTTTTGAGCTCGGTCAGGTGCCTCAGCCAGGAAGGCCAGAGCAGCCTCTGTGACAGTGTTGGCATGCCGGCACAGCACCAGACCAGTCTCCAGCACCTGTAGGAAGTTGGCTGCATCAATGTCCAGCCCGTACAGATCCCGAAGCCACTCAGCCAGGTCTTCCTTCATGGCCTCCAGGTACTGCTCGCTGGACTTGAAGGACCGGATGCTGCGCACAGGAGGCCCTGGGGTCCTGGGCCTCCTCCTGTGTCCCCTGTGCTGAGACATGGCTGGAACTGAAGTACAGGAGGAAGCAAGAGCCTCCTGTCCCCTACTGCTGCCTCTCTACCCCTGCTACCTGCTAGGTCAAGGTCCTGACCCACTTCTCCTTGACTCAATGGGTCCCTTTCTCCCCTCTGAGAGCCCAGGGCTTCTGACTCTGCAGCATGCTGATAGCTTCAGCCTCTGGGCCAGGCCCAGCCCCCACTGCCCACATTCCTCAGTCCCTGCCTGAGCTTTCTGTTTGGTGGCCCTGCAAGCGACCTCACTCTCAGCTGCCCGGTCCACTCAGTTCAACACTTCCCCGGACTGGTGGAAGTGAGAGCACTCCTCTCTCCCCAGGGTCGGGTGGGTCATCTGCTGCCTCCCACCCGCCACTGTCACCGGCCAGGGAGCCCGGAAAAGCATCGAAGCTGTGGCCTCTCGGCTCTGCTTTCCTTCCTCTCCTTGGAGACAGCAGCTGCTACAAACACTCCTTGTTAACTCTTCCTTCCAGCAGCCAAGTGCCTCTGTCCTGCTGTGAGGCCTGAGCAGAGGGAGCAGGACAGAAAGGGCAGAACAGGGTTCTTGAACCCACTGATTCCTTGTGGGGGTGGGGGATTAAGGGAGGTGAGGGAGAAGTGAGGAGTTAGGAGCTTTGAGATCAATGAGCACTGGAGAATAAATAAACATGAGAGAGACATGGCACTCAAGACAGAAGATGAGAGTTTTGCCCTAAATCCCTTTGGGGGTGGCATACGCTCCCTGTATTCTCTGTGCCTTAGTTTCTCAACTGTCAAATGAGAAGGACAATATCTACCCTTCCGGGGTGTTGTGAAAGCTCGAGACCCTCAGAACACACAGGCACAGCCTGGTGAGCCCCAGCAGACCTGTCTACACACTGGGGAATCTGTTTCAGCCATGTAATCCTTCTAGAAGAGTCTCATATCCTAGTCACAGCAATATATTCATTCAATAAAGATTTCTTTTTGTTGTTGTTGCTATTGTTTCATCTTTCGAGACAGGGTTTCTTTGTATAGCTTTGGCTGTCCTGGAACTGGCTATGTAGACCAGGCTGGCCCTGAACTCACAGACATCTGTCTGCTTCTGTATCCCGAATGCTGGGATTAAAGGCATGCACCATCACTGCCTGGCTCAACAAAGGTTTCCTTTTTTTTAATTTATTGTTACTATTTTTTATTTTATTTGAGATTTTGCCTGTGTAAGGGTGTTGAATTTTGAAGTTGTAGACAGTTGATAGCTGCCATATGGGTACTGGGAATTGAACCCGGGTCCTTTGGGAGAGCAGTCAGTGCTCTTAACCACTGAGCCATCTCTCCAGTCCCTCAACAAAGGTTTCTTAAGCCACTACTATGTACCAAGCACTATCATGAGACTGAGAATACAGCAATAAACAAAAATATCACTGCCTGAACTCTAGAAACTACTTATATGTTACCAGGTGATGGGTGGTAGATGAACAAATACGTCTGGTTAGGGGTGCTGTCACACACTGTAATTTCTGTAATTTCAGCAGCTGGGAAGCTGAGGCAGGAGGGTTGAGAGTTCAAGGCCAGCCTACAGAGCAAACTCAGGTCTAGATCGGAATACATGGTAAGACCCCGTCTCAAAAATCAAAAGACGAAACAAATAACAGCAAAACAAATGTGTAGTCAGTCAGGTAGTGATAAATATTGGGGGAATAGTACAGGAAAGAGAGGGTTACTTTATAGGTGGGGATACCTTCCATAAAGGCAGGGCCTTGATGCCAAGGTGTCATCTGGGCAGAGATCTGAGAGAAGTGAGATGTGAGCCCACATGAGGAATAGGAGCAGCCAGTACACTGGCTTGGAGGCAGGAACATGCTTAGTATGTTCTAAGAATAGCAATACTAAAAAAAGAAAGAAAGAACAGCAAAAAGAGGCGGTCGGATAGATGGTTCAGCAGCTCTTCCAGAGGACCTGGGTTTGGTCCCCAGTATCCACATAACAACCAAGCCTGGGGATCTGATGCCCTCTTCTGGCCTCCAAGGGTGTCTGCACACACATGGCATACAGACACACATATATACATAATTTTAAACAACTGTTTTAAGAAAGTGAAGCAGGCTTGAGAGACAGCTCAGCAGTTAAGAGCACTGGCTCTTGGGAGCTTCTACTCTAGGTAAGCATATGAATTATCCACACAGAGCCCTATCTGTGGGTAAAAATAAACTGTCAAAATTTATTTTATCCATTTAATGTATGTTTTGTCTGCATGTATACATGTGCATACCTGGCGCACATATGTGCATACCTGGTGCCCTTTAGGCTGAAGAGGGTATCAAATCCCCTTGGGCTGGAGTTACAGAGGGTCTGAGACACCATATGAGTGCTAGAAATTGAACTCAAGTCCTCTAGAAAAGCATCCAGTGTTCTTAACTGCTGAGACATCTCCCTGGCCCCTTCTCTGTGGTTTCTGAATTGGAACTACAATGACAAGTTCTTTTCCCAAGTGGATGTTAGGGTTTTAGGGATGCAGATGTGAAGCCATGTTCCCTGCACACCAAAAGATTCCTATTGCAATGGGGGGGAGGAATCTGGCACATAAACAGAGACAGAGGGACAGAGGACTTTAGGGTACTGGAGTTATTGCTTTTGTTATCTAGAGGCCAACCTCTTGTCTACCTAGCTGCCTGCCAGTAAACAGGCCAGACAGAAAGCAAAAAGACCACCTAAAGCAGTGTCTCAGACAGAAGGAAAGACACCCGCCCCTAGAGCTTGGCAAATGGTTCTAGGTAGATGAATGGCCCTGTCCATTTCATTGTCCAAAGATCTTTCTAGCTTGTGGCTCCCTTCAGCTATTGCCAGCAGTTACAGGATCAGTCCTGGCTTCCCAGTACTTTGCCTTCTCCAGATTTGTAGGAAGAAGATGCAGAGGTGGTGTGTGCTCTGACAGCTTCCTTTTTAAGGATGTGAAGTGTCGGTTAAACACATAATTTTTTTTTCACATGATTTGGGCCAAGGTTTAGGCATTTGGCTTGCAAGGGAGGCTGAAACTGTAGCCGGTGGTCATGTGTTCTGTCACTATTCTGTGATGGTTCTTTATTAAAAGGAAGAAGAGGAGAATGGAGATAGGGAACAATTTATAGTCCAAACCATACAATAGTCCCACAAACAAAGTCTTTATGAGTCTTGGCCTTATAGTTTGTGTAAAAAGTCAGATAGCAAATCTTTTGACTTTAGATGCCATGTGCTATTATCCTTTGTTTTATTTTATTTTTTACAACTCATGAATATGTAATGCAACATTTGTACAAAATCAGACTGTATATTAATATAGGATCCAACCCTTAAATTACATGAACTAATTTTTAAAGAAATTGTAGTCTTTTTCAGTTCAAAATAATTTTTACCTTAATGCCATATTGAATAGGACATGATTTATTATGAAGATTGAATTCAGAGTCCTATACATGTCAGGCAAATGCCTGACCACGGAGCTGTACTCCCTAACTCCAGAAAATTTTAACCTTTTATTCATTTATTTGTTTTTTATTTATTTATTTGTGTGTGTGTGTGTGTGTGCAAACATGCATACCATAACGTACATGCAGAAGTCAGAGGGCAACTTGCAGGGGTCAGTTCTATTCCTCTACCATGTGGGCTCTAGGGATCCAACTCAAGTCCCTAGGCTTGTCCACAAGTTCTCTTACCCCCTGAACCATGAGCCATCTTGCTGGCCTGACCTCAGAGGTTTAAACCTACCCACAAAACAGCAGAGAATTGTAGTAGACATTTAGTTAAGTGTGAAAGGCAATTGAGTAGACTTATGTTCCAACTGTAAGATTCAAGGATGCAAGTAAAATGTGAGCCAAGTTTTAAGAAAGAAATGAGAAGATTGGAGAGGTTCTTTGTCCCAGCTGGGTTCCGTTGCCGCTTCAGCCCCAAATGAACACACGGATGCTATATTAGTTATAAAATTGTTGGTCGGTGACTTTGGCTTCTTATTGGCTAGCTCTATCTTAATTATTAACCCCTTTATATAAGTCTATGTATTTCTACATGGTCTTGGCTTACTGGAGAAGAGTCTGGACCTGCTACTCCTTTGGCAGGCTACATGGTGACTGCGTCTGCCTGTGTTTCCCAGAATTCTCCTCATCTCCTAGTCCTGCCTGTCTCCTTGCCTCTATTGGCCACAGTGTTTTATTCATGAATCAATAATAGAAACGTAATACAGAAGGACAACCCCCCCATCATAGCTCAGTGGTTAAGAGCATTGTCACTCTTGTAGAGGACCTGGGTTTGGTTCCTAGTACCCACATTCCTAACTCCAGAGGATCCAAACACCCTCTTCTGGCCTCCATTGGCATAAGGGATGCATATGGTGCACACATATACATGGAGGCAAAGCACTCATACATATAAAAGAAAAATTAATAAATCTAGCTGGGCAGTGGTGGTGCATGCCTTTTTAAAAAATGAATACAACATTCTGCCTCCATGTATGCCTGCACTCCAAAAGAGGGCACCAGATCTCTTTATAGATGCTTGTAAGCCACCATGTGGTTGCTGGGAATTGAACTCAGGACCTCTGGAAGAGCAGTCAGTGCTCTTAACCTCTGAGCCATCTCTCCAGCCCATAGTGGAGCACGCCTTTAATCCCAGCACTCAGGAGGTAGAGGCAGAAGGATCTCTGTGAATTTGAGGCCAACCTGGTCTACAGAGCGAGTTCCAGGACAGCCAGGACTACACAAGGAAACTGTCTTGAAAAACCAAACCAAACTAATCTTGTGTTTAAAAAAGAAAGAAATGAGAAATTCTGTCAGAGGGCATGTTGATTCATAGAAATGGGATTAAGACACAGACCCCCATCTGTGACAAAGAAAGGGCACACTCACCCTTTTATCTTAAGTTAATGTAAACTGGTCTGATGTCACTTACAGCCACAACTGTTTTGGAAGCCACAAGTCTACTAGAGGACAAAGTAGCACTCTTCCTGTCTGTGCACAGGCAGCTGGGAAGAACCCTGAATCTCACAGTCTGGGTCAGGATGCTTCTGTGGTGCATCCCCTACCCAGAAGGCACCTGGTCCCATCTTTGGGAGTTCAACGTGCTCTAGTCACTTTTGGTTGGTTCATGAGCATGTGACCTTAGTTGAAACCAATCATACTCATTAATGGGGCCAGTGGTGCCCAGAAGCAGTGAAGAGCTCATTCTTAGGGCAGCTGTGATGGCACACTACATTTGAATCATGGAGCCCTGGGTACAATGCTTCACAATTTTCCTTCTGTGGTAGAAACTTAGCTGTGTTGCCGGGCTCCAAAATTTCCTTCATCCCAACTGGTTGGTAGGTCTATGGACTCTCCCATAACCTCTATTGATTTCCCTATAACCAGAAAAATCCTTTTCCAGCTTGCTTTAGTCAGGCCTGTTTTCTGTTGCTGATGGCTAAAACCCCTATTGACATACTCAGGCATCATTCAATCCCAGAAGACTGGTCTT